TTAGTAGTAGTGCTAGTTGTTTTTGTTTCTCTTTTCCTTTGTTATTATGACATTTTACTTTTTAACTTTTTTCTTCGTCCTGAGGAAGGGTCAGGGCGTCCCAAAAATTTGACAATTTAAATTGTTCGTGACGTTGGTCATTTTTAGTGCATATATATATATATATATATATATATATATATATATATATATATATATATATATATATATATATATATATATATATATATATATATATATATATATATATATATATATATATATATATATATCGCACAGGGAAATTCACTTTTATAAGGACACTCACTTCCGGCCCCAACCCGGGGTTGAACTCTCGACCTACGGAATCTGTCTCCTAGCAGTGCAGGAACAGCTCGTTAGACCGCTCGGCTATCTAGGCAAGTTATTAAAACTTGCTTTCGATGCCGATGGAATTCTGGCAACGCTGCCCTACACTACACGGTCATTGAAAATAGAAGTGAGATACAGTTATTTGGCCATTAGTTTTTAGAGGATTGTTCCCAATACATGTTGTGATGAAATTAGTTTGATTGATAAAGTACAATTTACAACAACTCTTAAACTAATATAACTGCCCTAAGTGAAGAAAAATTAATATAGAATGCACAGGGAAATTCACTTTTATAAGGACACTCACTTCCGCCCCAACCCGGGGTTGAACTCTCGACCTACCGAATTTGTCTCCTAGCAGTGCAGGAACAGCGCGTTAGACCGCTCGACTATCTAGGAAAGTTATTAAAACTTGCTTTCGATGCCGATGGAATTCTCACAACGCTGCCCTACACTACACGGTCATTGAGAATAGAAGTGAGATACAGTTATTTGGCCATTAGTTTTTAGAGGATTGTTACCAATACATGTTGTGATGAAATTAATTTTATTTATAAAGCATAATTTACAACAACTCTTTAACTAATATAACTGCCTTAAGTGAAGAACTATTAATATAGAAAGCACAGAGAAATTCACTTTTATAAGGATACTTTCTTCCGCCCCAACCCGGGGTTGAACTCTCGACCTACGAAATCTGTCTCCTAGCAGTACAGGAACAGCGCGTTAGACCACTCGGCTATCTAGGAAAGTTATTAAAACTTGCTTTCGATGCCGATGGAATTCTCACAACGCTGCCCTACACTACACGGTCATTGAGAATAGAAGTGAGATACAGTTATTTGGCCATTAGTTTTTAGAGGATTGTTACCAATACATGTTGTATGTATATATATATATATATATATATATATATATATATATATATATATATATATATATATATATATATATATATATATATATATATATATATATATATATATATATATATATACAGGGTGAAAAGTTTATTTCTGTTATCTTTGAAAAGGGAAAAAATTGAAACCGAAATATAAATAAAGAGATACTGATAAGTCCCGTAAACAACATCCCAGTTCAAAAATTTTTCAAACTCTGAGGTGGGGTCAATATTCAACAGGGTCAATTTTCAACTTGTTGGGGACATCGGGGATAAGAAAAAAATATCAAGCTGTTGAAAAATGACCCTGGGTATAAATTCAATGACATTTGGTCTCAATTTTCAACGGAGAAAAAAACACCCCTAGTTCAATATTCAACGTTGAAAAATGAACCCCGGGTCAGTTTCAATTCGGGTCAATATTCAACGTTACACCTTTAATAATAAACACATAAGCTATTTCTAAGATAATATATAATGCTTGCATATTTCAAAATCCAAGTATCGACTTTATCAAAAATGTTTCAAAGATCATATATAATTTTATCTGGAAGAAAAGAGATAGGATGAAAAGAAATACTCTAATTGTCAGTGGTAACAAGTTTCGGGCATCCAACTCAGAAATCGATATCGTCTTCACATGATTCTCTACCGTATCGAAATCGTTTATGCCACTAAAAGACAAGTGATCTTGATTCATTTTGATTCAATCGGGTTTGTTCAAATAATGCACCAAGGAGGTATATTGGGATCACAATGGACGATCAAAGTTAAACTTTGGAATATATGGGGCCATCCTTAAAACCTTCTTCTCAAGAATCACAGGGCCAGAAAAGATGAAATTCATGTGAAATCACCCTCAGGTTTGTTCAAGTTCTTCAAATTTGTTCTTCAATTTGTTCACCTCCAAACCATGGCTGAAATATTGCCGAATCGGTGTTATACGATATAAAAATTAATCAAAGTTGTTGAAGTCATAACTCACAGAAACCGGAGGATGAGGCCAAGAATAACACTACTATGATTTGTTAATATGGAAGTATCCTTAGGTACATGTAGTGTTGATCTAACTTTATTCAAATCATGACCCTTGTGGGTAGGGTGGGCCATTATGAGCAATAAAAGCTTATCATATCAATATATTGGAAAAATTTTCAAAAATCTTATTCTCGTAAAACAGCAAAGCCATGATTAGTTATATTAATATGGGATGTGGGGTGAGTTTTTACTAGGGATATATACTATATATATCTTTAAAAAATGTTGGGAAACAGCAAACCTATGATTAGTGATTTATTTATATGAAAATATTAGGGATGTCAAATCGGTCAATTTTTAATATTCGGTTACTCGGACGTTTTTCCGATCGAGTACCCGGGTACTCGGTAGGTAAAGGTGTAAATAAATATGAACAAGTAAACATTGTAAACTCTTGTAGAAATAAAACCACATGCTTTCATAGAAGGTTTACCCGTTAGTGTATTTCTGTTGTAACAACGAAGAGCACTTCGTGTCCGAAGATTAACATAGCATCGTTTATGTTCTATTTATTCATCAGATAAACACAAGAAATAAAATCATTAGGAAGTTCACAGATTTTTTGTTTCAAAAATTTATCTGCTCCGTATATTGTAATGAAATTCTTTGTTGCCTTTGACGTCCAGGCATTAATCAAACAGTTTATTGAACTTGATCAAGTTCGCCTAACAGAGCGGATTTACGGTTTTACATGTAGTACACTTTTCAAACATAGATTTTCTAGTATTACGGTATTTTGTAGTTTGGCGCAATGATGGACATATGTTTTTGTTAAGCCTTCGGCCTCAACCATTTGTATTGGCAGATAATCAAACACAACCATATCAACAATTGCACGGGCAATATCATCTGTCTCTTTTCCCGAGAATTTTTAAAAGACTTATTGCAGAATTGACAAGATTGTCCAATTTATAAAATGGTAATAGACTATAAACGATGTTCAGTGAAAACAAATAATTAAAGTTGATCAAAAATAAGGGTAGAAGACAGTCAAAGGTGAGAAAAGCCAGGTTACAGGTGCTTGGTCACGATAATTACGCAGGTAGGTTAAGGTTACAACCAAATATTCTACTTGCCTATATAATATGACGTCATAGTAAGCTATATGACGTGAAGTTTAGAGATAACAATTTCTTATCATCGATATCTAAGATTGATTTGAGGTCTTAAAAATTAATCAATATATGCAGAGGCATAATACAAACAGAATTTTGTAGTTTCTGGGTCTCTTTAGTTATCACAGGGGTTAAATTCCAAACCCATGACGTCATAACTGTTGATCATGCAGTAGCAGAGTGAATGTGAAACGTAACGAGAATATCATGTAAACAAACACAAGAAATCGGAGTTTAAAAGCATTTAGAATGAATATCATGTGTAATTCATGTGGGAAAAAAGCTTATAAATAAGGTATGGTAATATACTTCAACGATTTCTTCGTAAAATTAAAGCAGTGACGTCGTGGTGAAGTGCTTCATGTAGTATAACGTTAAGTCCCATTGAAGTCTGTAGAATGCATATTTATAACAAAAGTTTTATGCTTGACTTTTCCGATTTATAAGTGTTACATAATTATAAAAAAGTCTTAATTCGCCGAATTCTGGTCCATGTGCTGCCTTAACATACCTGCGTACTGTATAAACACTGCCACGGGCGATAACGTTCATTTAGAGGAGTAGGAAACCCTAATTACTGTATGTACAAATGCAATGAGTATTTTACGTTTTAAAACAGATTGTTTAATGCATTAATAATTAAGCTAAGAAATATTCAAAAATATACATCCGAGTAACCGATTTTAGAATTCGATACTCGGACGTTCGATCGAGTACCCGGTTAACCGGGTACTCGTTGACATCCCTAGTAAATATTGGAAGCAGCCACACGCGCTTTAGATTCAGGTTTGTACAGTGATCCACGGGATAAGAATGTGGACACACTGAGATACTTAAGTTTTAAATGACATAATATGGGGAAAAAGTTATGTTTAATCAAGTTAACATTAAAGCATTCACATATAGAGATGATTCTTTTTTTTTCAAATCATGACTCGGGAGAGAGGTACAAATGCACAGAAATCTTTAATAAATCATCTTTTCAATAACGGCAAAGTCATACATGAACATGCAGGCTTAATTCATATGATGGGATCCTCAAGTAGTACATATGAAATATTCAAGTCCCCCATCCCTAGTAAACTTTTCATTACTGAGCTAATGTGTGGTTTTGGATAGCCCATGGGCTCAGGTGAGCTATGTTGCCCGTAGGCTTCTTGTTTCACAATCTAAATGACAACCCTCTTAAAGATATATTAAAGTTGCAAAAAGATTGCTTTTGTAATAAATATCCATTTATTTATTACTATAGAAGAAACCAGAAACGGAGAGTGACGAGTCTTTTTATAACAAATTAGAGAAGTGTTTACCCGAGGAGCACACACTGAAAGGTCTTATTTCGCACGCACGTTACTATGAAGTAGAATGTCCATAGGAAGGTTTGAATGAACACCAAGGAGAAATGATAGAAAATGTCAGAAAATGTATTGTTCGTGCTGCACGAAGCCTCTCTCATTGGGGTGAAAAAATACCATTAAAATGGACAATGTTTGAGCAGTTAATTAGAGAGAAAAAGGAGAAGGGGATGACAATTCTAAGCAGAAATAAACTTTTAAAAATGAAGGAATATAAACCATTAAACGTAAAGGAAGTGGACGATATGCTAAGATATTTCAAAGAGATAGGTCTAATTATTTATTTTGCAGAAGAATTTCTAAAAGAAAATGCTATCAATGACGTTCAGTGGTTTGTAGATGCATTCAAAAATATTATAACTGATCCAACTCATGCTGAACCTTTTTGCGAAAGGGTCAAGGAATGGAAGATATTCATGGAAACTGGCAAGATATCTGATTTTACACTTGTCAAGATATGGGGAGAAAATTCTTCGTATGTTTCTCAGAAAGACATCATTGCACCCTACATGGAAAAACTTAGCTATAGTACGAACAGAGGAAGCTGCTGAAAAGGAAATTGGACCTGTTTACTTCATTCCTAGCATTAATAAAACTGAATTCACCAAAGAATGTATGGCGATAACGGAAAATGTCAACAAAACTCCCATATTAATATTTTCTTTCAAAACTTACATCCCTCATTTCTTTTTCTTTAGACTTGTAGCTTTATGCTTCTCTGTTTGGGAACCATTACGTGATGACCTACTCTGCAAAAACATTGCATTTTACAAAGATAAAGGTGGTGACCGAAACATTGCTATTGCAGTAAACAAAACCTCTATTCAGTTACAAGTGCTTACACCGGATAAAGCAATCCAGCTGACAAAAGACAAAATTAAACAGATCAGATCAAAGAGTGAGAGGATGATGAATGACATAACATCCACATTCCATCAACAAGTTCTCTTTGAAGTCGGATACACGTGTAAAGATATAAATATCACTGAGGAGGATGAAGATTTCTTTTTAAGTGAGAAAACAGTGGCAGAACTGACAACCAACAAAAGAATTTGCCCCCATCATGTACCCCCAACGAAGCATGAGAAACACGACATAGTTCGTGACAATTTGTTGTATTATTGGTACACGGTAAGGATTTTTAAAAATTAGATTAAAAAAAAAAACAAAACAAAAACAATGAGAAAATTTATTAATATGAGTTGATTGCATTCATTTCCTCAATGTTATCTATTAATTAATTATTTTTTTTTATAATATTAGTTCAAAAATAATTTCTTATGCTTTTTTCAAATTATTTAATTTCATTTTAGGGCACTGAATAACGTACTAGAAGCAGCGTTCATTGTTTCAAAGCAATTTTAGCATCTCCAGAAATCAAGAAAGTGGATTACTCTGAACATTTTGCGCAACAACCTATTATTTTTCCATACTTATTATTGACTAATGATAGTGTATGTACATAAATTTTAACTTGTGTAGTCACGAAAAGATTGAAAAAAATTTACTAAGGACTGATCCTCCGTTGACCTTCTTTTTAAGAAGAGATGAGATTGATACTGAAGAAATATCACTGAGTAATTCAAATTATTTTTTTACATGTATCATTGTATAAACAAATCTTTTTCTTTTTTTTTTTTTTTTGCTTTTTGCTATCAATGTAGTATATATCCTCCGCTCTTATTCTGACCCTGTCAACGTTTTTGTTATAACAAAAAAAATATTCTTCGATGAATGAGCAAATAATGATAGAGTATTTGAAACAAACGAACGCAAAATACCTAATGTTTTTTTAATTGAGTTGATTTTCCTGACAATATATTCAATGAAAGATATTTTAATTGGCAATTTAAATAATACAATGTCCAACCTAACAAAGAAAAAAATGAAAAATGAAACTTTTTCAGCAAAATAAATGTTTTTATCCACTTTAAGCTTATAATAACGAACTAATATGTCTTTTTACTATACATGTGATCATAATAAAGTACACTTATTCTCAAAGCCTTTGAAAATTTATGTTCAAACATATTCAAAATTATACTGATATCAAATAATCTTAAATACATTATAAAATACATAATCTAACATACATTTTATTTCACCGAGAAATTCCAATTCCTCTATTATAGTTTTTTGTTGCACCCCCCCCCCCCCCCCTGGTTCTGTAATTTCCATTCATATTTTAATTACTCATATTTTAATAATAAAAACATGAATTCGTATACAATTAACATGTATATTTTATTGTATATTAATATAAATACATGATTGTGTACTATAATTAGCTTGTTGATTGTGTCAAGATTTTTTAACATTTTTTGTTTCCTTGTGTGTTTCTTCTCATACTTTCTATAGTTATCATGTAGTACATTTTGAATTCACTTGTTGAAGGTAAATGCAAATTTTACAAATTAAAGAATAGAAAGGTTTTGGCGGGAATTGCCTCCAACTAGTAAATTAAACATTTACAAGATACTATTCAAGTGGTAAAATGTATTAATTTACACAAATATTTCTTACATTTATTGTCCTCCGTGTGATAGAAAAAAAGGCTTAGTCCGTGAATAAATATAAATGAATGATAACAGAATAATTTCACTGGACACAATTAGGAAGTGTGACACAAAGTGAAAACATAAAAATAATTAAATTAATTAGATATTAAGTTTAAATAAAAACAATAATCTTATCTTGATCAATTTAAATTTCAAATGGGAAATATACAAACTTGCACATTATTTCCCGATCAGAAAAAAATCTTTGTATTTACTGTGATGAGATTCATTATTCATGGGGGATTTAATTTTCATTGTTTTTGAGATAAATGTACGAAAATAACTGCAAATTCTTGAATCATGACTCATTTTAATCATGAAATGTATTTTTACAAACATTACTTCATTCAAAGAATCAATTTCTCACGTAACCAGAACTTTTCTTCACAAAAGCATGTGATTTAACAGTGGTATAGTCTAAACAAGATACCTCTATGCCACAATGTTCACAAGATTAATAATTCTATTTTCGGGGGTCCATTTTATTCCATATTGAAAGGTCAATCTCAATTTATCTTGCAAACTACTTGCCTCAATTCATCAATTTTTCTTTTCTAAATTCTAAATTCAAGAAAAAGACTTCTTGATGTTAAATCAAAACAACGACGACCTAATGCCTTGCTTTCAAGGCGGCTGCATGTGTCCCATTCTGGTGATGAACTCCAGTAGATACATCTGTAGTCTGACGTCAATGCTCTTGTTGGTGACATAGAACCCCGGAACTCCCGCCTTCTCCAACATGACCTGCTGATCCATCACTTTCTGATCTAGCTCCATGATTATCTTTATGTCCTTCTTCTTCACCTCTTCTTCACACCTCTTCTCCATTGTCTGAAAAAGGGAAATCATAAGATGCTAAAGTCTAAATTTATGATGACTAAGATTTGAAATGAACATCAGAAATATGTAATATAGTAAAGATTGACTGCAATCAATGTTCATTTTATTGTCAATTGGAAAAGTCTAAAAATAAGATATATTACTAGGAAAAGACGTTAAAAGTAATGTAACAACCAAGTTCTGTGATAAACGTGATGACTTTAACGTTACAATCGTCAACTTCCCAATATCCCATACTTCTGCAACAATCTACCCTTGTCACCTGCATATGAAGTTTATATCTCTAGGTTGACGCGATATGGAAGAGCATACTCTACTTATGAATATTTTCGAAAATGATGTAAGTAATTGACAAATTGAAAGGCTGCAATGGCGTCGAACAAGAAAGATAGTAATTGCAAAGGATCTGAAGATACGTCAAGTAAGTGACTCGGGTAACATACAGTCATGTAATTATAATAAAATAAAAAGAAGTTTTAATACAAATACAGTCGGGGGCCTTATGTCCTGGTCCGAATGAAGTAGTGTTCGGATTGACCAGACATCGTCAGAAATGTTCGCACTCAATATCAAAACTATTTTATAATTTCTTTTCAATCAGTCGAAGACATGCATGTGTATGATAGGTTACGTAAATTTATGTATTATTTGTTATAATTGCCATTGTCAGGGTGTTATTCTACAGTATACATGTGGTTATTGCATTTAAAACCACGACTATATTGTTACAAGTACGATCGCGTTATCATAGGAAACGGTAAACAGAGGTAATGGATAAATAACAGTAATACTGGTCAATATTATGGGTTGTTCGGATAAAATTGGATTGAAGATTGTAATGTAAAGCTACACTGTAAGATTAAGAAATTCAATCTTTATAGTCCTGTAAGATTCGTGCTTATTTTGTAATTATTTTACCGTCTTGAAGGTTGTTTGTATTACAGTATTGAATCGGTCCCAAAAATGTGATTCATGTCATTCGACGCACTCTCTCTGTAGAAATTCATCCCCAACAACCATAACGTTTTTAGTGTAAAATTTATATACAATATCGTAGTTTTGTAGTAGATTAATTTAAGATACAAATTGACATAATTTTATATTCAAGCTATTAATTATCGTGAGCGTTTTCAAAGAAATTGGTTTACAGCTGTTGCTACTTTTCTATTGCGGATGCTTGTTGATCCACTGACACATTCGATTGTGTAAATCTGACCGATCATTAGATGATGCCCGAGCTTCGCTCCACGCCATAAAAAGTAGCAAGAATATCAAGAGTCTGGTTTAATGTCATTATTTAGTAAGTTCTATGGTCGAAAGAAGGAGCTTGTTAACAGGAGCTTGTTTACAAATACAATCTATCCGAGAGCTTCCCTAGGATGCTTCCATATAAGTTTCAGCTTCTCTGGGCTAGTTATTTGTAAGTGAATGATTTTTTAATGACCACACCACATTCAGTTGTTTCAGAAATAATTTTTTCACCCATGGTATGATAATAACACAAATTATCTAACTCAGAAACACAGCCAGTACCCCCTCCTCAGAAACGCACTAATGTAAAATTTAAGAGGAAATGAATTACACTCGTCAATGATCACCGAGGTTAGACTCATTCACACAGCCGATATTAAGGTTATTTATAAGCAAATAAAAGTTCACTTACAGGAAAATATTTTCCTTCCTATTGTACGGGAACTAGATATATTAAAAAATGTTAAAATTTCATGTAACATGTCGATAACATTTTCAATTTTCAAGTAGTCCCACATTTCTGCCGAATGTCAATCAAAAGCGCCCTCGTTCTTTACAATTTTATCAGTATCCTTCAGCATATGACTGTTAAACACATTCTCTGTAAAATTTACGTGTTCTTTTTAAAATATATTTTCAATAGATTTTGAAAATATTTCAAAATGATATGTTATCGCATAGCAGATTTCTTTTAGCGGAGTGCTAGTTTTAGCATATTTTGATGTTTTGATAGTAGCCCGCAAAATTTTAATCGCTAAAGTATTTAGTACCCTTTTTAGTGTTCACATGAAAGGAGTAGAAACCCTGTGTCTGCTAAAATTAATTAGGCCAAAATTGTTGGTATACCTTTGAGATGGAAAAATTACACATCCACCAACAAAACACACAATGCGGTATATTTTTGAAAAATTCTTTTGATTAAAGATATGTAATGAGGCTTTTCATCACATAAATATAATGTATCTTATAAAATTATTTTTTTTACCCTAAGCATCTTATTTGGAAATATTTTATTTCATTAAAAATACATAGTGAAAAAAACTTATCTAAACGATGTAAAAAAAAACAAAACAAACTAATAACGACCACTCAATGCTGAAATCAATACTTTATTGAGATATCGGAAAAATCTGTGAAAAAAAGTTACGGCATTCATTAATTAAGGTGAAATATATAACTACAAAACTGATATTACTAACTTCGAAGTTAGTATTTATCCCCTATTAATTAGCTTTACATTCTGTATAGGTAAACTTTCCATCTTTTTAATCTTTTTAAACATATAACTTGACTCTAAATTGATTCTCTTAATAGATGTCACATTTTCAAATTCTTTATACTGAATAATAATTCAGTCTTCAAACGAAGACAAAAAGTACATAATAAAGTTAATCGACGGACGACGCACAAGTTGGTGAAATAAGAGTAATACGTCATCTGAGTGGCTCAAAAATGATCCAAAATTAACCTTTATGCATTACCATATATCATACTAGTAATGAAGCCTTGTCGCTAAGAAAATGAATTCATTTTATTTTACTTTATTTTACACCATCACCTTTTTTTGAAAAATAAAAAAAATCAAACTTGCAAGTTTTGTGTTATTAGACTAATTCTATTTGAATATTATAACAGAATACTTTTTAAATTTTGTCATCCATTTAAAAATCAAAGTACTCAGAAGTACAGAGACCCGGGCTCATTTACAGAGTAGAATGGATTTCGTACATGAATCACGTTTATATTCTGATGAAAAAATATTTCAAAACTATCAATATAAATGATACATGTAAGACACTGACAGTGAGTTTTTCAATCCTAATACAACGGTCCGATTTTGTCAGAATCAGAATTAATCTGG